TGAGCAATATCTTAGCAAATAGAAAAGATAAGAGGTTCTTATTTTATATTATAGCTTGTAAGTATCAGTAGTTTGAGTTCCTAATTCGTACAAAACTATAGATTTTGTATTTTGACATCACAAATATCTAATTGGAACCAGTGCTGCATTCAACTTACCATGTGACACACAAAATTCGATGTTTATATAGTGCTAAAATTTGAATTATAATCTACAATTTGATACCAATCTCAGTGACATAAATTCATAAAATAGTAGTTCAATAAAATTTTGAATGTAAGTCAACAAACACGATGATACAGCCTTTGACACACGACCTGTCACGATAGGGTTAAATGCAGTGACTTTGCATGACTCACATATTTACTCTGCATCACAACCTGGGAAGCAGAACCACTCACACAGCCTTTCTATTACAGTATTCAATTAATATACCTTACTGTAAATTTTGGCTGTGTTAGTGCTCACTCAGTTACAACCACTAATATGTTCCAACAAACACACATACACAAATTTGTTAATCAAGTGACTGGTAATTTCACTTTTAGAGTTTTAAAACTGCTGTTAGAAAACTTATACTGAAATAAAATGTGTTCAGAAGTACTTCGTGTAAGAAATTGTTCTGAAAAATGTTTGCAGTATCATAAAATAAAAACTTAGGTTTACTTTTTGCAGAAAACAAATAAAATAGCTGACTTACATTAGCTAATATTCAAAAATAAATTTCACTTCAAAGATAAATTTCCACATAGAAAATATCTCAAGTTTTGGAGTTAAACATTAAAAGATAAAAATTATGATTGACTGCAAATAATATTTTTCCCACCTTCTTCTTCATTATTTCATTACAGATTCCAAATCTGAAGTGTGTGTAAAACATAACTTCTTTTGTGTGCCTTAAGCCACAGATCAAGAGACGTTTCATTCAATTTCCAGAATCAAACAGGCTGGACCACAATGGCATTCAAAAGTTTATCTGAAATACTATTTATATGCAATATAAAAACACTTAAATGTTACAGTGTTATAAACATAGGCATATGGGTTCCTTTGCCAATGGACTAATAGGAATGTGAAGAAAATATCTGCAGTCCACCATACTCTTTATCATAGATATTTTAACACTTGTATAATGACTAGAGAAAAAAGCAATAAATATCATACCTATATTTATTAATATTTTTTTTAATAACAATAAAAAAAAATCACCTCACAAAATTTAAGTTTTGGATAAACCTAAAGAGCATCCAGAACATTTATACAATGTCTGGAGAAAAGATCCTATTATTACAATTTTATACCTACTTCTATAGGTAATGAATACAGCTTTCCTTGAGAGGCAGAAGAATACAGGTCTTTGACTGTTCCCATTGAAAAGAGAAATGATGGTCTCACTGTAAATGTTATAGACATCAACAAGTGGGCTGAACTATGCGTTACCTTCCTTGGAACCTATAAACCAAACACCATAATGTTAATATTAGGTAATACTTCTAATCAAGTTGAGTAATATAAATCCACTTGATTGACTTTCATGAAGGGAAAACAAAAATGATTTTGTGCACTGAAAAACTAAAACATAAATATCATAAAAACTATTTTTATTCACACATATATAGTCAAATAAAAAAAATTTCCTCTGTAAACAAAATTTAAGTATATCTTTTAACTAACTTTGTAAGGTGCGATTAGTGCAATATGGATGAATAACCCTTTCATGACCAGAAGGATGTCAGCAATATTCCTCCAATTTTTCCCTTCTCAAAGTGAAAATACTTAACCAAATTGCATAAAACTTAGAATAAACTTAGTAAATAATACAGTTGTGGCTTTGAAAAAGTCATATAGTTTGATTGTTTTTCTATCTTTTGTATGCCATCAAATTTCAAAATTTTATTGTCACACTTTTTGGAAAGAACATTAAAATTATTCCTTTCCATTAAACAAAAATATTTTTACTGGTTATTAAAAGGTTTTATTATATATATAATATTTTTATTGTTTATTAAAAGGTTTTATTATATATACTTAGTCAATTTGAACTGATATACATTTATATTTCTTTTGACCTTTTCATTTTTGGTCAAATCCTGTTATAAGTCATAAAAAAAAACATTAACTGACAAGGATTTATTGGTGATATACGACTTGACTTTTCAAAATGAAGTAAAGTCAGGCTGTGTAACAATACTGTTGCAAAATATTTTCTTGGTTCACATTTTGGTTCAATTTACAGCTATTAAAGTTTGTTTGTTTTTTCAATAAAGAATAAGTTCTTTTGTTTGTGTGTGTTGTTTATATATGATAAACTTAACATCAGTATTAATTAAGTATAAGTATTTTAACTTAGAAAAAGTCTGTGTATAGATCTACTTAAAATGAAGCTGTATCTCCCTAATTGTTCATCAGGTACACACTGGACCTTTATCTCCCTCACTGTTCATCAGGTACACACTGGACCTTTACCTCCTTGGATTTGAGTCATCAGAATATTCTGCTGTCACCTATTTTAATTGCTAAACCTAATCAAGCTCACCAATGTTTTCTCATATAAGAAAATTTCCTTAGCTTTTCAACAAATATAATTTAATGCAAAAACATTTTAAGAATGAAAAACAGGGTTCATACACTTTCTTACATGTGAAATTCCATGACCTTTCAAGCCAGAATTCCATGACTTTTGAACAAACTT